AATGTATGTCCTTTGACATATCTGCAAGGAGAGATTTACAGAGAAATGTAGAGACTGGAACCGTTCTCCCCATTTTATTTCACTGAAGGCACCTTCATCCTTCCACTCATGTCTGGGTCTAGAGATTGTGAATAAAAGCAGTTTCCTGAATGTCACTTGTTCATTTAATCATCTACTCATGCCACTCCATGGATTCTGAGGGTGAGCATTTTACACCAGAAACTCAAATGGGAATTTCTTTCTCTTGCTACCCACCTATCTGCTAGATTTCTTATTTAGATTTTAAGAGGTAATGTTTGTCAGTTAAATTTTGTGAGGGAGATTAAACTGTAGTTCTCTTTCTTAGTTGTGTCTTTCCCTGGTTTTGGTATCGGTATAATACTTGTGTCCAGGAATGATTTTGGGAGGATTGCTTCCTTTTCAATTTCATGGATGAGTTTGAGAAGTATAGGGACTACATCTCCTGTAAATTTCTTGTAGAATTCAGCTGTGAATCCATCTGGACCTGGACTTTTCTTTGTCCTTTGTCGGTAGGTTTTTTATTACATCTTGTATTTCATTGGCTGTTATTGGGCTATTGAGAGTGGTGATATCTTGTCGATTCAGTTGTGGTAATTTGTACCTTTCTAGGAATCTGTCGATTCTTTCTGCGTCTTCTATTCTGTGAGAGTAAAGATTCTCCAAGTAGCTATTAATAATCTTTTGAATTTCCACTGGCCCTGTGGAAATTACACCCTTTTCATTCCTTATTGCTTGTATTTGGATTTTATCTTTCCTCTTTTTGATGAGGTTATCTAGGGGTTTATTGATTTTATTTAATCTTTCAAAGAAACAGCTTTTTGCTTTTTTAATTCTTTGAATTGTTTTCTTCGTCTCAATTGAATTAATTTCTGCTCTAATCTTTATGATTTCCTCCCGTCTTTGGGCTCTGGGTTTGGTTTGCTTTTCCTTTTCTAGTTGTTGAAGATGCAGCATTAAGGTATTTATTTGTTCCCATTCTGTATTCCTAATGTGTGAGTTCACAGCTATGAATTCCCTCTGAGAACTGCTTTCATCATATCCCATAAATTACGATAAGTTGTGCTTGAATTTTCATTGAATTGTAGATATTGTTGAATTACTTGTTTAATTTCATCTGTGATCCATTGGTTGCTGAGTAGGGTGTCATTTAATTTCCATGTATTTAGCTTTTTTTCTGGTTTCTTTTGTCATTTATTTCCAGTTTCATTGCACTGTGGTCAGATAATTTGGATGGGATAGTTTCTGTTTTCTTGCATATATCTAAACATGACCTATGGACTAGTATGTGGTTGAATTTAGAAAATGACACATGTGCAGCTGAGAAAAATGTGATTCAGCTGTGTTTGGGTGGAATACTCTGTATATGTCCACCAAATCCATTTGTTTCAAGCTCTGGTTCAGTTCTGTTATTTCTTTGCTAATTTTTTGTCTGGTTGACCTATCTTTTTGGTATAAGAGGGTGTTAAGGTCTCCTTTTAAGATTGTGGTATTGGATATTAGATTTTTCATGTCCATTAAGAGTTGCTTTATATAGTTGGGTGCTCCCATGTTTGGTGCATACATATTTATGAGTGTTCCTTCTTCCTCTTGAATTTTTCCCCTAACCAGTATATAGTGGCCTTCTTTATTTTACTTGATCATTCTTGGTTTGAAGTTGAGACTGTCTGAGAATAGAATTGTTACCTCTGCTTTTTTCTGAGGTGCTGGGGCATGTAGTAATTTTTTCCAACCTTTGACTTTCAGCCTATGAATGTCTTTATGAGTTAAATGTGTTTCTTATATACATCATATTGTTGGATTTTGTTTTCTAATCCACTGTGCCAGTCTATTTCTCTTAATTGGTTAATTGAGTCCATTTACATTGATAGTTATAATTGAGATGTATTGACATACACTTGACATGTTATTTACCTGTTGTCATTTACTCCTTTTTGTCCTGTGTTTAATTGCATGCCCTATTTACTTTGTTGCATCTGATCTCATTTGTGGAGTTCTGATCATTTTGGCTTCTCTCTAGAGCATCTTTCAGTAGCCTGTGTAGGGTTGGCTTTGTCATCATGAAATTCTTTAGTTGCTCTTTGTCATGGAAGTATTGCACTTCTCCATCAAACTTGAAAAGAGAGTTTTGCAGGGTATAGTAGTCTGGGCTGGAATTTGTTTTCATAGAGAACCTGAAGTACTCTGCTCCATGCTTTCTTGCCTTCATGGTTTGTGAAGAGAAGTCGGCCGTAATTCTGATGGGTTTTCCTTTGAATGTGATCTGCTTCTTTTCTGTAGCAGCTTTCACTATATTTTTCTTGTGCTGGATTTCTGGGATCTTGACTATTATATGTCTCGGTGTGTTTTTATTTGGGTTGAGGTTACTTGACGTTCTGTGTGCCTCGGTTACTTGAATGGCAGATTGTTTCCTCATATTTGGGAAGTTTTCTGCTATTACCTCTGCCCATATTTTTTTAATGTCATTTGTATTGATTCCTTCTTTCTCATTGATGCCTATTAGTCTCACATTGTTCATCTTTGCATTGTCTTGCAGGTGATGGATTATTTTTCCTGCATCCTCGTTGTTTTTAAGAGATCCTTTCTTGGAGATGATAATTCTTGAAACAAATGAAGCCCAATTTTAAATTTAGAAAACTTATATCACATTCCCAAATTAGCTTCATATGGATTCATAGCCAAGATTTATTCTTAAAATTCAATATTTTTAATATGTGTTTTTTCAAATTTGCTTTTCTAATTGGTCAAACAATGGCCATGACTCATCCACATGGCTGACAAAGGATCAAAGGATCTACAAAGTGGGGTACAGTGTTTCAGGATAAATCTTGAGGGGATTTGACTAACTTATCAGATACAAAAGCCACATTCCTTGTTATATAGGTCTTGTTTCATCTTTGTCTTAACCATCCAACAGAAAATTATAAAAGTGAAGTATAAAAAGTAAAGACATATTAATATGTTGAGCCATAAAAGGCTCAATTCAACAACTTCTGACATTGCCAGTCTTATGGAAAACCCACTGCTCTTATGGAATAATGGACTGTATTGGAATGTTTTGCTGAATTCATGCTCCTATAATATTTAAATGACAATGGAATATGTAGAGATGTAGATTTGAGACAAAAGCCTGATGTCCCAAGAGAGCAGGGAACAATAGACAGAGCCAGAGGAAAGTTGTTTTCTGTTTGCAAATTCCGTGCAAGCTGGAACCCAAGGCTGCAGATAACAGCTTCCCTTGCAGGAGCCCTGTCCTTTGATCCCTTCCTTGGGATGTTATCAGCTAGCATTTGTGTGGACCTAGTGTTAGGCAAATGGTGGAAGTCAATAGAGATAGTAGGTTGTATTCACTTAAGTAATTATGCACATTTCTTAGTCTGCCTTTACCCCTCAATAAATGTGAGATGCTTCTGAGGCTCTGGGCTCACTTGGAGAGACTAATCTCAGTAAGACCTCTAAAGCTACATTCATCAGGTCTTCTTGTTGTTTCTTTCGGCACTGACCCATACCATACAACAGGAATACCCTTCTCTGACAAAACTAAACAGAAAAAGGGGATACAAACGAATGACCATTTTTTGTATCTGTATATTCAAAATAGTTAAGATAGATAGACAGATACATTCTCTTCATTCAATGAATAGAAATGTTTGTTCTGATAGTGTTTATAAACAGGATATCATGTCTGCATCTTGTACAATGATTAACCACTAAGACAACAATACGCAATGTATTAGTTATTGAAACTCTCCTACTAATTGGATTTGAAACTGTCTCATGCATTTTCTCAATAAAATTGTTGAAAAAATAAAATCAAAATAAAAATGAAAAACAAATTTGCTTTTCTCCTTTTCCAGTGAGACTTATTCTTTCCTATGCTCTTGTGATTGCATTTATCTCTATTTATTCTTCTGAGTGAGTGCAGGATTCCTTCTAGTTTCTTCCATGATGCTAAATTATGTGTCACAAATGCCTTGACTCATGCTTACTTGCAGCATCCTTGTCTTTCATCCTTAAAGGACAGCATTGCCTGTATACAGGAATATGGGCTGGAAGTCACTTTCTTTCAGGACTTGAAATAGACCCAGGTACCTACAGGGAGATGATTCCTGACAAAGGTGCCCCAAAGCACAGTGAAGATAGAATGCTCTTTAGTGGTCCTGGAAACTCAATATCGATATGTAGAAGACTAAAAGGAGGGTATTATCTCTTATTCTATACAAAAATCATCTCAAAATAAATCAAAGGCCCTAATGTAAGACCTGAAACTTGGAAGCTATTAAGGAAAACAAACACTGTGAGATACAGGCAAAGACAACTATTTTGTGAATATCTCTCTGAAAGCTTAGGAAATAGGAGCAAGAATTAACAAATGAGATCACATCAAATTGAAAAGTTTCTGAATAGCAGGAAACAACAGAAAGATTAAAGAGGCAGCCTAAAGACTGAGAGAGAGCTTTGCCAGCTAGTCAACTGATAGAGGATTAATTTCCAAAATAGATGAAGAACTCAAAAAGTTATCAACAAAGGAACAGGCAATCCAATCAATGAATATACAAATGATCTGTACAGACAGTTCTCAAAGAAGAATAAATAGTCAATAAACATACAAAAAATTTAGTCATCAAGAACATACAAATAGAAAATATGTGAAAATTCCTTCTCACCTCAGTCAGATTGGCTATTATCAAGAAAACAGAACATGAGTACTAGCAAGAATGTGGAGAAAAGATCACTTGCACACTGCTGTTGGGAACATAAACTAGAACATCCACTGTGGACAACAGGATGGAAATTCCTCATAAAACTAAGACTAGAACTATGACATGATTCAGCTACACTAACTCTGAGTATATACCCATGAGATAAAGTCAGAATACAGAAATTATAACTGCTTGCTTATATTCATTGCATCACTATCAATAACTGTCAAGTTATGGAATCAGTGCAGGTGTCCATCAGTAACTAAATGAAGAAAACGTACATATAAACAATGGAGTACTATTCATCTGTGAGGAATAAAATCACATCATTTTCAGTGAAGTGGGTGGCAATAAAGGTTGTCATGTAAAACAAAAACAAGCCAGATGCAAAAGGGCAAGTACTGTATGTTTTTTCTCACACATGGAAACTATAAAGAAACCAACAAACAAGAACAAGGAGACCCGAAGGAAGAGAGACTGTTAGGAAAGGGGAAAGAAACCAGAGGGAGAAAGGTGAGGGCAAGCAATGGGACCTGAAAAGGTTGGTACAATCAAATCAATATGAAAATGTCACAGTGAAGCCATTAGTTCATACAATTACTATGGGTTGATAAAGAAATTTTTTTTTTAATTTTTATTTGAGAGAGAGAGAGAGAGAGAGAGATAGAGAGAGAGAGAGAGAGAGAGTGTGTGTGTGTGTGTGTGGTGTGTGTGTGGCCAGCTCAGCCCACCAGGGGGCGGGGCTGGCTGGCATGTGGTGCTGGGGGATTGAACCGCGGTCCCTGATGCTTTGCTAAGCTTGTTCTAAGTAGATGCTTTAGACCACTGAGCCATCTCTCCAGCCCGATAAAGAAATTTTAAGAAGAGATAAAGAAAATAAAACAAATCACTGAGGTTTGCCTACCTGATAGGACTTGGGACTTCATAAGAAGAGGAGACTGAGACACAGACTCTCCCAGGGCAGATCATATGAAGATGGGCAGAAGTGGATTATCTCGAGTGAAGAGAAGGCACCTAAGAAGTCAACTGGGTACACAACTTGTTCTCAGAGTTACAACCTCCAGATGTGCGAAGATATGAGTCTGCTGTTTAAGACACCCAGTCTATGGTACATTGTTAAGATAGCCTTAGCCAGCTAAAATAATTTTCAATTTTTAATGAAAAAAGAGAACAAGTTAAACAGGACAAAGATGGAATTCCAAATATAAAGGAGTCCTCTCCTGCCATGAGCTATTCTTAAATGCTGGGCAGGTTAGGAAATATACAACCTTCTGTGAACCATACTGTTGCATGACAATCTGCGGATCGAGACTGCATACCTGCCATTCACTGCTCACTAATCAAACTGGAAGGTGCTGTTTGGAGGCCCCTGAGGTCCCCATCACTGGAGGTGTTTTGACAGTGGCTCCACAGCCAGCTCACAGGGACAGCAGAGCTCACTCTCCAGGATCTACCGGCTTCATGAAATAGAAAAGTTTTAAGATTGTTTCCAAAGTAGAGTCAGTAGCTTCAATAGTGAAAATGTAATTCTCCAAGTTGTCTAGTTTGTCTGGATTTCTGACCCAAACCCAGATGTTCTTAACTCCAGTTCTGTTCTATTCTGGGAAAAGTTATTCCAAATTTTAACATCATAGGGCTTCTTCTTGCTGTATTTATTACCCAGACGTCAACTGTCATCTTTATTTTTCGAAAACCTTAAGGTAGGCTAAATGCAAAGTTGTTTAAGTAAGAATGAAACAAATAAAAGCACCTTAGAGTTTATGCGCGTGTGTACCAATTTAAAGTATGAACCTACACTGGTCTACTTACAAATGAAAAAAAATGTCAATTATTTCTAAAATTGGTATCAATTCCTGATTCCATTCTTTTCTTTTCTTTTTTTGTATTTTTTAGGGAAGCGTCTACAGGATATTCAGGGTCTCACTACTAGATTGGACTCATAGTGATCATGGTCCACTTGTTTGCAGCTTCCCAAGAGCTGGGATTACACAAGCATGCCACCATGCCCAGTCTCAATTGCTGTCTCAGGGCACCCTGGGGATGGGGCTGGCAAGACAGGCCCGAGAATTGAACCCTGGCCACTGTACCTTCTTGCAGGAGCTTTAATCTGCTGAGGTATTTGGCCAGATCTTCTATTATTTTCTTATAGAATAAACATAACTTACCTCCACTGTAGTCGTTTTCAAAATTATATTTTAATTTTAAAAATACGTCACTAAGAAACTTTATGATACTTTGTTGTCAGCTTCACATTCTGGAATTAGCATTTTCCACTGTCAAAAGCAACACAAATTGTTTTCAACAACTACATGAAACCTTTCCACTGCATGCTGAAGGATGTGCACTCAGCCAAGCCCCTTCAGGGGACATTGGCTTACCAAAGCAAAAACCCAGCTGTCCTGAAATCACACTACAAATTGTAACACTATAAACCACAGGTCTCTGTTTTCTTCCACCATCTTCCTAAAAATCCTTCCACATGTAATCTTCACTTTAACCCACCTCACTTGGAACTTTTTGCAACTGACTCAAGGTTTTCCCCTGTGGTATCTGTTCAGCTGGCATTTGGCTCACAATATCCCCAAGTATTTAGCGACTTTACTGCCTTTGAAAAGCAACCCACACTATTAGATCATGAGAGAGTGTACAGAAATATTCTGCTTACTTTTCCAGCAGTGATCATCCTGTCTTTCTCCTGGTTTGTATCTCCATAAACAAGCACTTTTTCTCAATGATGCCCTCTGGTTCACTACGCAGTAAATAACAGCATCTTCTGCTTTCAAGTAAATAGTCTGGCACCAGAGTTCTGCCTTTGGCAGTATGATTCACAGGTGGCCCTCCCTTTTACAGATATATCTGTGAAAACAAATACTGCTATTATGACCAAACCAAAAGTAGCAACCTACAAAGAATAGGATAATCAAACCTACTAAGATAGCTGAGAACACTCATCCACCTTAGTTTTTGGAGGCTAGAGAAACACATGAGGTCAGTCCAGTTGAACACAATTTGTAGAAGATATCTCGGGTGCTTCTTAAGTGCAAGCTGCCCTCTGAAGCTCAACTAGCTTTCACATGTATACATTTCTATTTATGCTCTACTTCACTCTACACAGCCTTGATGTGGTTTGTGGAAAATGTGCAATTAATTATAAATGAAAATATGTCCAAGGAAATGAAAAATAAATTAAAAAGGTGATCAAAGTTGAGAGAGAAGAGCATATAGAATGTAAATATTAATTACTATGATTTCTAGAAATTTGGGAGATAGAAAATTAAGAAAAAGTTGTCACTGTATATTGAAAAATCTGATCCCCAGTCACATTATCCAGAGTTATCTCCAGTGGTTGTGAGTCTGTATACCTAGGGATATTCAGAGTAGGGCTGAAAGGAAATTAGGATCCACACACACATGGGCTCTTGGATTCCAAGGGGCTTCACTTACTTGGGCAAGAGCTTAGCTCTTCTAAAATATCTGTTTAATTATTACAAGTTACTATTTCCTAACATAAGATTCAGTGACATCAGAATTTCTTTGGTCTACAAACCACTTTAATAGAACAGTACCACAGATAGATCTTATTTTTGACAGTGAATAATGGTTGTACTGACACCCCAACCATGCTCCACAAAGGAGATTTTACTCCTTGGAGTAATTGAAGAAGGCAAGCCTAAGACTCTGGAGTGTGGAACCCAGAACATAAAGGTTACCAACCAAAAGAAAAATTTTGCAAGCATTTATTGTTCAGATAATATAAAAGAATAAAACTTTGCATTGAAAAATAGGTATAAACTTTGCCACAAATCTCTCACTGCAATATAGTTAGATCCAAGTTAAAATGTATTTATCTCAAATGCAGAATTCAGACTAGAATTAATAATTTTAATTCATTAGCTAAATTAAATTCTTACGTGTAAAGTATTGCCAGTCTAGTGCTTAAGGACTATACTATTTTAGCAGAGAATGCTGAAAACCTTAGCATATCTTGCAAGTGTTCAGAGCTAAGCAGGTATGGACAAGCACAGGCATTCTGAGCCTCAGCCTTAAAACCAGGTAAACTAAACTTTGTCTCAGCAACAAAAACTTTTTTATTTATGAGCAAAGGCAAAAGAATACCAACCTGGGTGTTGTCCGCACAGGTGTAAAACTTGTAAGTTTCCTCTTAGGTACTTACCAAAGCTTCAAATTACCAGTAATCAAAAATACAGTTTCCCAATTTAACATATCATGCGAGGCTTAAATCTGAGTGAGTCTTAATGGTGCTAATCTATCCCCATGAGACCTGACTAGATGGTAAAATGACAAAGT